TTGATTGATGTTGATTGATGTTGATTGATGTTGATTGATGTTGATTGGTTGCATGCTTGCTACCATTGTTGATTGATTGCTTGGTCCATTGGTTCCGGTTCTTGCTTGGTGGTGGATTCTTTGGCTTATGAAGTTGTCCCAGTTGTTGATCAGTCAGTTGGTTGCTCATTGTTTGGCGGCTTAATTGGCTGCTTGCTGAACTTATGTTCTTAAGAACAAGCATATCATTGGAAGCCGGTCTCTCGCCGGAAGAAGGCTCTCCTCTAAAAACAAGGCATGTTTGTCCAAACCATGTTTGTTTCTTCAAGTGGCTTGGAGGCCATCGCCGCTCGTCGTCTCTTGTTGCTTGACTTGATGAAGGGCCAAAGCCCGACTACCGACATATTGGCGTCTCTCGTGAGGCGGCTGCAGGCTGGGGCGGTGCAGGCCTCCGGCTGTTGGATAAACCCCGGTGAAAACGACCTTGCAGATTGGTTTCAAAGGCACCAGGGGTTTGGTCAGAATCCGCTTTTTGGAACAGTGACCACTGGATCCGCTGGGAGAACGATATTTGTTGTTTTCTTACGGATATCCGCTGGGATCCGCTGGGATCCCCCAGATTCGATCTTTTCTTTACTTGTGTGTTTCTAATTTTATAGTTTTTGTTGTTTTAAATTCCGACGTTTTTTGACAGTTTTTTTACAGTACTTTTTCGAGTGGTTGACTTTTTTTTAATGTGTTTGTTTTTTCAATGTTTTTGATATATATATATATATTAATATTTGTTCGATCTTTTTTGACGTTTTTGAATATTTTGGTTATTTTTTGAGCAGTGGTCTATTTTTGCACTATTTTTTTCTACGTTTTTGTTTGTTTTGTTTTTCGACTTTGTTTTGACTTGTCAATTTGTTTTTTTTTGACTTTGACTTATCCATTTGACTTTCTCGATTTTTTTTGACTCTTTTTTAATCAAGGATTCTGGCCTTACCATATGAAATATGTTTATAAATCCACTGATTCCGCTGAGTATGTTCTTATGTTCTCAATTGTTGAATTGCTTACAGCTTCACTCAAATCTGCCGGACAGATACCGAACCGTTCGACCAGCATGGACCTCGTTCGACCAGTACGGACAGACGCGGAAGACGCCCAGACGACAGGCGCTCCGACAGGCGCTCCGACAGCTGGATGGGCAGGCGACGACACTCGAAGCGTCGTTGATCGAAGGTGTTGGCCTGGGAAATGGATTGGTACCCGAAGGGCCCAAAATGTTGGTCTATTTGGTGTGTTTATATCCCTCTCCCTGTTGTAGAACATGACCTTCATTATCCCCTTCAGTATATATATATATATACACATAGTTCAAGTCCTTTATGTATTGAACATCAGGAACTGTCGCAACACATTCGAATGATACTGAAGATCTAATCCGTGGATGTCATTTGCAACAATCATGTTCCGCTAATGTGAGTCAACTTGTGGGCCCCTGTGAGACCTCAGTACTCACAGATGTGTTTTCTTAATGTTCCTAAGCCGTGGTATGGCTTGCATTTTCGAGGGAAAACAGCTTGGTGATTGATCCTTCGATGAGATCCATCTGCATGAAACGACATAGTTTATCCAATCAGTATGATGTGTGAATTTCTGATTCTCCAGTTTGCTTTCCAATAGCGGCATACCACCTTCG